GGAGAACCGCGGAGGTTCGCTTGACCCGAAAATAGCGATCTGCCCCGCGCGGCCGTCCGAGCTTCGCATCCACCCTTTGCGGCCGCGACCCGCCGGGACGTGACACGATTCACACGGCGATGGAACTATCTCTATGTATAATCTCATGAACGAGGACACCCTCAATAAAATAGCCCAGAGCACAGCATCCAAGCTCTGGGGAGGCTTCATCAAATTCGGATCTGCAACCGCGGGAATACTTGGAATATTTATAATAATCCGTGTGATCAAAATTATTATAAATACCGCCATCCACGGATACGCTCTACACACAGTATATGGCTGCAGTCTCCATCTTGTGGGAGCTGTAACGTCTTCTGTGACCGCTCAAACACAAAAAAGTTATGCTCTCTTTTGTTTTAGGCCTGCCTGCATTCACCGACAATAGCCAGGGCTGGTAGAGAGCAGTGCACCGAGAGGGAGTTATGCGTGTGTGTGATTAAATAAAGTGAAAGAGAAAAGATTTAAATGTTACAATTTATTTATTGAAAACGTAACCTCTTACTTGGGTTAATATAAGTTGAAAATATTGCTTTAATTAATAGTAACCTCGACGAAATGAAGTTATAATGTAAAGAGAATTCAATTGGTGTATGTAAATGGGATGAAAAATAAAGTAATCTTCGTTTATAAGTTTGAAGTTGTGTATTAATATCTTGAGGTTATACTTTAGGAATATTGAAGTTAACGGAAGAAACTCTAGGATGTAAATCTGGAGATACTTTATTAGTTAGTTAATATATTTATTGAGGGTAGGTTGTGTCGTGAGATACGTAAGAGTTGACACGATTTTAATTATAAAAATATCTTTTATTGTTCGTTAGTGAGTACATTTACTAATGCTTCGACTACGGCTTGTTCGCTACTTGTTAAATCTTTATGCGAATCTAAGTTCGGATTCAGAACCTTTTGATCTTTCGGTAATAACTCAGTGTATTTAGGCTCCTCTTTAATAACGGGTACGGTCGGCGTGACTGGCCTCGGTGGAAGTGGTCTCAGCGACGCGCGAACCTCAATATAATAGTTTCCCGAATTTAAAATAAAATACCCTCTATCTGTAGGGTTAGGAGAGCTGGGCACGACGGAGACAGGTTCGCCTCGCTCCGCGGTGCGTGCAATCCACCTGCGTAGTCGCTCTTTATGTTTCCTGCCGCTTCTCTTCGGCATCTAATATATTGAATGAAATATTCTAAGTTGCAACTGAATTGATCTCAATATGAAACTCAGTAAGAACGATTTAAGTAAGTCGGTATGGGTGTAAAGCAGAAATATAACCTCTGGTCTCTCAGTCCTTAAGTTGTAAGATCCTGTTCGCAATGGATCTGTTGAAGTCTCGATCAGATCTCGACTGACTCGCTAGCCAGGAAATCCTCACGCGCTACTTCACAATTCGCTGTATATTAATTAAGTTCCGGAGCGTTCGTGAAATGCTGCCGAGAACTGTCAGAGCTCTGTCTTAAGAAGCAGAAGATGTAACCAGGAGCGGGGAACGCTGCCTAGCACATTAGCAGTATTATGGTGTTATAGCGAACACCGCAGCTCTGCAGGAATGTGTGTAAAAGCGTATGGCTTACGACTGGCGCATGTGCCAGTGAAGCGTCGAGACCAAAGACGAAACGCAAGGTAATGCAAGGTGTGAGGGATGTATAGGAAAAGAATCGTTCTTAAAGAGAGCAGTAATGCATGAATTGTATAATATATTTTAAGAGCGAATACAATTATGGTATTTAAACGAGATTTTTATATGTAATGATGCTATAAGCTATTAAGTAGTACGAGTAATATAATAAAAATCAGAATAGAACTAGAATTAAATCAAGAATAATGAATTTAACGATAGGTGGTCGCTCGGATCCTACCGGTCAAGTGTTCGAGTATAATTAGGGCATAAACTCACGGACGCTTATAGTAGAGATCCGTTAATTGTGGTAGAACTCGCCTGGGCACGTTAATACTGACGCAGCAGTCCGCTCACAGGTCGATCGTAGATGGTCCGAACAAATGCGTAAAGCAACGGGTCGGAGAGTAACAAAGGCTCACGCAGCAGCGTGAACAGATACGTGTATGGTCTCGAAAATTTCCCGAACAAAAGCTAGCGAAGGCGCACGCAGCTACGGGTTGTAGAGTCCTCAAAAATTCCCGAACAAATGCGAGGAGCGCTCCGGGAGCACGCCTTTTATAGGGCTCCGACGGGAGCTTCGTACGTTCCCGACGCTTTCCGACGGCGGTCGGCTCGCAGCGCCGAATTCCACGGCGCCTCGGTGGTCCTGGGTCGGTTAGGTTCAAAGGGATGCCTCTACGCTGGGTGGCTGGATGACGTTATGTGCGATGG